CTGCACTCCAGTCTGGGCGACAGAGTGAGACTCCAACTCAAAAAAAAAAAAAATGAGAGTTTGCCCTCAAGGACCCCAGTGTCAGAGGGAAGACGCAGAGATGACCAATAGTGTTAAAATGCTCTTTTCAGTGTTGTAATTTTTATGGTCTTGCGTCTGTATTTGTAAGACTCCCTGTTGCAGGCCACATCTTGCCCTTGGGCTGTTTGAGCCCAACCTGGTTGCAGCTAGACTCAAGTGAGCCCCTGGCCCAGCCTTTATATAGCCAGAGGGTGGCCACTCTGAACCTCACTTGGAGCTGGTACCCTGGGAGCAACCAGGGATGAGGGGTGCAGGATGGATGAGATCCAAGTGAATCTGGAAACTCAGGAATGGGCAGGTTAATACAGAGGATGTTGGAGGAGCTTTTGGTAAACTCTGAGGGACTGATAATGGCGTTTCCGATTATAGTAAACACTTGTTCTACAACATGTTCATAGGCATTCCACAGAAAATGCATTTTATGCTCCAACAGTTTACCTACCTCAAAACCTTTTCTAATCTTTAATACACTAGAATGCATTATGAATTTCTAACCCTTCTCATTTGACCTCTGCATACCCTCCCTGACCTTTTTTTTTTAGGACCGACTAATACATCTTGGGAAATGCTGATGCAAGTAAAAGGTGGCTGTAGGGGACGGAAAGGTTTTCTCCATATCTGTACCTCTTTTTGTTGTTGTTCCTCCCATGTTGTGTCATCCTCCCCTCTCTGCCCCACCCCCAGTCGACTTCAGCTTACCTGCCGCTTCATTTTTGTTCTTTCTCAACACTTTACACAGTTGGCCCCTGAAAGGCCTCAAAGAGCATGATTCACGGTGGGATAGATTGCTAAGCCCCAGTGTCTCATCTGACTATAGTGCTCCAGTGACAGTGTCCCCTTTCCCCTCCCCAGAGTGATGCACAGACTAAGACATTGGCTTGGGAAATACAGACTCTGCCTGGGCTCTGAAGACCATACGCATAGTCCCCTTCCCGGTGTCTCCACAGCAGGCTTCGAGAGACTGACAGCCTGTGTGGCAGGAGAACATAAATGAAACTTGTAGTTCGCGGAGGGTGCCTTCTTTTGAAGAGGAGAGATCATCCTTTGCTCCTACCAGTTGTGGATAGCGTATTGCAGTGGCATGGCAGAGAGAGCAGACCCTGGGAAATACATGGTTTTATTCTGGGCCTGCCTGCCTGCCAGATGAGTTAGCTGTTTGTATATGTAAATTAAGTACTTCTACTTGTTTCATTCTGGTTCTTTAGCAAAGCAAACATAGTAAGTCACATACAGATCAAATAATATAGCATGGACTAGTAGGAGACCATGGTCCCAGCAGCAGGTCCCAGCTCTGCTGCTTACTAGCTCTGTGAAGTAGGCAGTCACGTCTCTCCATACTGAGGACAAAGATGCCCATCTTGATGAGTAGTAGAGACCATGTGATGTGATGGATAGGAAAGCTCTGTATAAACTTGACCTGTGTACAGGTGTGAGGAGTTGTATAAATATCACAGTCCACAAGAAGGTGAATTTGTAAAATTCAGGTTGGACTGAAGCTTAACTTTATGCAAAGAATAAAGTTAACAGCATACTTTTGATTTAAAGGGCTTGTTTTTTCAGCCTAAGACAATGACTGGATTCTAAGAACTTGAGGGTGTAATTGCTTTTTTTTTTTTTTTTTTTTTTTGAGTTGGAGTCTCACTCTGTCACCCAGACTGGAGTGCAATGGCATGTTCCCAGCCACCACAGCCTCGATCTGCTAGGCTCCGGTGATCCTTCCGCCACAGCCTTCCAAGTAGCTGGAACTATAGGCACGCGCTACCACGGCCAGCTAATTTTTTTGATTTATTGTAGAAATGAGGACTCGCCAAGTTGCCCAGGTGGGTCTCAAGCCCATGGGCTCAGGCAATCCATTCACCTCAGCCTCCCAAAGCGCGGGATTACAGGCTGAGCCACCGAGCCCGGCATAATTGCTTTTATGAGTAACTGTAATCAGCTCATTAATCAGGACTGTCAGTATGTGGCATGCAAAGTTAGCTCGGAGTCTTCTGAGCCTTCCATTGGGTGGCACTATTTTGATGAATCATCGTGGTTTCAGTTATGGTTTTCCTTTTCCCAGAACCTAGTCTTTCGATTGTAGACTCAGAGACCTAATTTGTGAGCATGCAATGAGGGTTGTCCTCCCTTGGAGGAGTCTTGCATTAACCAAATACCCCAACCTGTATGTCCCAGAAAGCCAGTTTTTTACTTTAGAGCAAGCTCTTGTACTGTCCATACATTTTCTCCTTGAAAACGAATGGTGTAGGTGGTCACATCATAAGGAGATGATTGCCTGAAGAGCAAGGACCTCCAGGATGGAGGACACAGTAATGAGATTCCACTGTTCAAGAGTTGTCCAGCCTCATGATGGCATTTCCCCTGCTGCTCGCTCAGGTCCTGGGCAAGGACACTCTGAGCCCCAGGGAGTACTTCTGCAGTTCTATTTTCCCATGTTTCTGTTAAGTACCTGGTGACCAAAGTACCTTCCCACGAGGCAAGCGATAACACAGCTCCCGGGGCCTCTTGTCTCTAGAGGTGGCAGACAAAATCTGACCTGTAAGTTTCACTGTTATTTCACCTGCCTCCCGTTGCTGAAGGAAGAGGCTAATGGCCATTATGGTGTTTCATCCTTTAGTCCTGAGGAACTGAATAAGTGTGGGGCAGTGGATTATAATGAGACAGAGTAGGCACGAGGTTTTAAAGTAAGTGCCTAGAAATAAAGGGTGGTGCAAGGGTGTCATACAGGAAATCATTAGGGAGGAATCTGAGGCATTTGCTCCAGATAAAAATGTATTTAGGGTACAGCCTAAGGGAATACTTAGATTGAATCAAAGTAGAGGTTCTGCCAGAGGAGAAAACGTGGCACAAAACCAGAGCAGTGATGAGGAAGGTAACTAAGTGATTCCCTACCTAGGAAGCATGGCCCTAGCTGCTAGTGATGAACCAGGCCTTCTTCAGAGGTGGGTCCCACCCCCTGGAGTTGTCAGGTGATCAGTGCCACAGAGCAGATTTTTAGAGTTAGGGCGGAGGGTATTGAGTCCAGCCCTTCAGTAGATAAGAAAACAGCATCCGAAGTAGTTGGGTGACTTGCCCAAGGTCAAACAGTAGCGGAACTGGGAGAGAGTTTACAGACAGCTTGGGGAGGCTCTGTGAAGAAGTGGCCTTTCATGGATGTGAACGGAAAAGCTGTGAGACAGCTTGGGGAGGCTCTGTGAAGAAGTGACCTTTCATGGATGTGAACGGAAACGCTGTGTCCATCGTGGTCTTGGCCAGACAACTCTCCACGAGTGCTAAAGGCACACAGTGCTCCCTGGGGGCTTCCTTTTTCCACAGAGTAAGGCGTCTTAGGGGCTTCCAACCACTGTCCATATTCTCCCCAGGTTCCCCTTTGTCTGCAGTGCTTTAGGATTTTGCTTCATTTGATACAATTTCATTCTATCTTGTCCTGTTTACTTCTCTCTTAGTTCACTTGACTTAGTGTGATGGTGCCAGAGGAAAGATTTTAATTGCTGATGCACGAAAGGGCGATGGGAGGAAATATAAAAGACATAGAAAATCCTTTTTAGTTAGGCGTGTTATTTTGTAACCTGTGTGTTTTAATGAACTGTATTTATTTTTATAAATATGCCTTGGGAAGTGAAGTATGTTATTCATTCATTTAGACATCTTCATTAAAGTGTCCCATGATATTTTCAAGAGCCATAGTTTTAGAAAG